TCCCCCACTTCTTTGTTGGCAGAACCCCTAATTAAGATTTTGTTCAAATACCTGATGGTCATATATTTCAGAGTTTGCTTTCTTCTTCCTCCCAGTTTCAGGGTATGGGAGTGGGCAAATCTTTATTGGTTTGATCCAATTTTCATTCCTTTTCCTTTGTGGTGATTGATTTAGGAATGGCAATTTGGACAATAAGGTACATGGGGAAGAATTCAATTGCATACAATAGACTGATCTTGCATATGAAAATGAATTTTTGACAGCTGGAGTTAAAATCAAAATACCTAAAGAAATACTTTTGAATTTTACTTCATTTTGCACTGGCCACTGCAGATTGCTGTCTTAAGTTTTTTTATTTTTTTGTTTTTGATTTTTTTAAGTCAAGTTAGTTAACATACAGTGTAGTATTGGTTTCAGGAGTAGAACCCATTGATTCATGACTTTCATGTAACACCCAGTGCTCATCCCAACAAGTGTCCTCCTTAATGCCCTTCACCCCTTCGGCCCATCCCCCTGCCCACCTCCCCTTCAGCAACCCTTGGTTCATTCTGTATATTTAAGAGTCTATTATGGTTTGCCTCCCTCTCTGTTTTTATCTTATATGTCCTTCCTTTCCCCTATGTTCATCTGTTGTGTTTCTTAAATTCCACATATGAGTGATTTTCTGATATTTGTCATTCTCTGACTTCTTTCACTTATCATAATTCCCTCCAGTTCCATCCATGTTGTTGCAAGTGGCAAGATTTCATTCTTTTTGATCACTGAATAATATTCCATTATATATGTATACCACATCTTCTTTAAAAAATTTTTTAATGTTTACTTGTTTTTGAGGGAGAGAGAGAGCACAAGTGAGGGGGTGGGTAGAGAGAGAGAGAGAGGGAGACACAGAATCTGAAGCAGGCTCCAGGCTCTGAGCTGTCAACACAGAGCCTGATGCGAGGCTCAAACTCACAGACCATGAGTCATGACCTGAGTTGAAGTCAGAGGCTTGACTGACTGAGCCACCCAGGTACCCCAACCATATTTTCTTTATCCATTCATCAGTCGATGGACATTTGGGCTCTTTCCATAATTTGGCTTTGGGGATAGCACTGCTATAAACATTAGGGTGCATGTGCCCCTTCAAATCATCATTTTTGTATCCTTTGTATAAATAACCTAGTAGTGCAATTGCTGGGTCGTAGGGTAGTTATATTTTTAACTTTTGGGGGAACCTTCATACTGTTCTCCAGAGTGACTGCACCTGTTGGAGACAAGGGAAACAAAAGCAAAAAATGAGCTATTGGGACCTCATCAAGATAAAAAGCTTCTGCACAGCGAAGGAAACAACAAAACTAAAAGGCAACCAGTGGACTGGGAGAGGATATTTGCAAATGACATATCAGATAAAGGGTTAGTATCTAAAATCTATAAAGAACTTATCCAAACTCAACACCCAGAAAACAAATAATCCAGTGAAGAAATGGCCAGAGACATGAATAGACACTTTTCCAAAGAAGACGTCCAGATGGCTAACAGACACATTAAAAGATGCTCAACATCACTCATCATCAGGGAAATACAAATCAAAACCACAATGAAGTACCATCTCACACCTGTCAGAATAGCTAAAATGAACAAATCTGGAAACAATGGATGTTGGCGAGTATGTGGAGAAAAGGAAACACTTTTACACTGTTGGTGGGAATTAAGTTTTTATTTATATTCCAGTTAACATACAGTGTAATATTAGTTTCAGGTGTATAATATAGGGATTCAGCATTTCCATAAAACACCCAGTGCTCATCACTAGTGCACTCCTTACTCCCATTACCTATTTAACACATCCCCCCCCCACCCACCTCCAGTCTGGTAACCATCAGGTTGTTCTCTGTAGTTAAGAGTCTGTTTCTTAGTTTGTCTCTCCCTTTTTTCCTTTGCTCGTTTGTTTTGTTTATTAAATTCCACATATGAATGAAACCATACGGTATTTGTCTTTCTCTGACTTATTTCACTTAGCATAATACTTTGTAGTTCCATCCGTGTTGCAAATGGCAAGATTTCATTCTTTTTTATGGCTGAGTAATATTCCAGTGTGTGTGTGTGTGTGTGTGTGTGTGTGTGTGTGTGTGTGTGTGTGTACATACCGCATCTTCTTTATCCATTCATCAGTCGATGGACACAGGCTGTTACCGTAATTTGGCTATTATAACTAATGCTGCTGTAAACATCAGGATGCATGTATCCATTTGAATTAGTCTTTTTGTATTCTTTGGGTAGATACCTAGTAGTTGCTAAATCATAGTGTAGTTCTAATTTTAATTTTTTGAGGAGAATCCATATTGTTTTCCATACTGGCTGCACCAGTTTGCATTCCCACTAACGGTGCACAAGTGTTCATTTTTCTCCACATCCTCACCAACACATGTTGTTTTTTGTGTTTTATATTTTAGCCATTCTGATAAGTGTGAGGTGATATCTCATTGTAGTTTTGATTTGTATTTCCCTGATGATGAGTGATGTTGAGCATCTTTTCATGTGTCTGTTAGCCATCTGTATGTCTTCTTTGAAAAAATGTCTATTCATGTCTTCTGCCCATTTTTTAATTGGATTATTTGTATTTTAGGTGTTGAATTGTATAAGTTCTTTATATATTTTGGATACTAATCCTTTATTAGATATGTTCTTTGCAAATATCTTCACCCATTCTGTAGGTTGCCTTTTAGTATAGAATTTTTAAATTTGTATTTATTAAAATTTTCTGAATTCAAATAGAAAAATTAAATTTTTATTATGTCAACAAAAATTATAACTCCTTTTTTGGGAAGGAGTTGTTTATTCCATTATGTCTTTTTTTCCTTACACAATGTATTTTTCAAAAAAAAGGTAACCCTATACCAATAATCACAGAAGTTTTCCAAATTTTACTGGTCCATGTAAACCTTAAAGTCTGGGTGTTGGAAATCTTGGTCTGTACTCAGTAAACTCCATTCTTACTACCTCACTTCCTGACTCCTTGCAGCCTGGCTCTGGGCCTAACTTTGTGGCTGAACTGGTTTCTAGAAGGTTAACATTGATTCTATGGTCTCAGCACCCTCTTTTTAAACCAAATTTCCCCTTTGCCTTTTCTGTAATGTTTAATTCTGTTGCCTATTTCATCATTGAAACTCTTTTGCCTAGCATTTACTGAGAACGCTTCTGTATCTACCTCAGTGACCATTTTTCAGTTTCTTTTAATGCCTTTATTTTGTTCCTATTGTGACTCTTGTTTACAGTGCCTGTAAATAGTATGCATGAGAATGAATTAGCCATAAATAGAAGCTGCAAGTTGCTAAGTAGAGACTATTTAGTAGAGACGGTCTTTTGATATAAAGCTAGGCTTATAATCAGTATTAAATAGTTTCCCTAACTGATAACAGTTGTTTTTTTCAAGTACACACATATGTTTAATGCATTGCATTCCTTGGTATGTATCTTTATTAAACCACTTCTTTTTTATTGGACTTAAAAAATTTTTTTAATATTTATTTATTTATTTATTTATTTATTTATTTATTTATTTATTTTTGAGAGAGACAGAGAGAGAGCAGGGAGGGGCAGAAGGAGAGAGAGAATCTCAAGCAGGCCAGATCTGAGCTGTCAGTGCAGAGCTCAATGCGGGGCTCGAACTCACAAACCGTGAGATCATGACCTGAGCCAAAATCAAGACTTGGATGCTTAACTTACTGAGCCACCCAGGTGCCCCTTAACCATTTCTTTATGGATATTTTCTTTCCATTTGTGTGCATATGCTTTTAAAAAAATAACCACATGTGCATTCTTGTGCCTACGTCTTGACACACTTTGTGAATATAACCACATTATAAATTCATAGTGGTAGAATTGTTGAATTGTAGTGTATGTGCACTTAAAAGTTTGGTATACATTGCCAAATAGCCTTTCTAAAAGTTTGTACCAGTTTGCACTTTTATCAACAGTATGAGTGCTGCTTTTTCCATGCCCTCTCCAACAATGAATATAATAAAACAATGTTTGCTTATCTAATGGGTGAAAAATGTTTACATTTTTATTTATTTTAGTTATAGTGAGGTTGAGCATATTTTATATTACTGGTTCTCAACTGGGAGTGTTTTTGCCTACCAGGGGACATTTGGCAATGTTTGCAGACATTTTTGGTTGTTACAACTGAGAGAAGGTCTGGGGAGAAAATTCTGCTGGCATACTGCTAAACATCCTGCAATGCACATGACAAAGCATTATCCCCAGATACCAGTAGTGCCAGAGTTGAGAAACTATTTTATATTATTCCACTTCATCTCTTTTGTTGGTTTATTATCTGTAATTCTTGAGTTATTTTATTGGTTACTTTCAGGTTTATAGTATATAGCTTTAACTTATCACAGATTACCTTCAATAATGTTTTACCATTTCACATACAATATAAAAGCCTTATAACAGTATATTTTCATTTTTCTCCTCCTGGCCTGTAATACTATAATACATTTTACTTCTACATGTGCTATAGACTTCACAAAAATAATTATAATTGCTATTAGTAGTAGTAGTAGTATTATTTTATTTTAAACAGTTGAGTATCATTAAATTTTTTAAACGTTATTATAATTTATTATTAGATTGCACATATTTCAGGTGAATAATTTGATAACTTTTGGCATGTATATATAATTGTGAAACCAACACCAAATATCACAATGAACGTATTCATCATCCCCAAAGCTTTTCTCCTGCCCTTGGAAATCTGTCCCCCAACCCCAGGCAGCCACTGATCTGTTTTCTGTTGCTATAGATAGGCTCACATTTTTAGAATTTTATGTTAATGGAATCATAAACAATATATTTTGTTTTTGTCTGACTTTCATCTGGCATAATTAGTTTGACATTTATCCATGTTGTATGTATCACTAGGAAAACATTTTTAATGACAGAGATTCCAGGTAATTGAACTGTTATTAAAGAGCATGCTGAATTCTAAAGTCATTTGATGTGTTCTGTTTTAGGTCATGACTCGCCAGAGTATGATAATCACATGAGAGCACTCATTGCTACAGATGTCATTTGACTCATCAGAAAAAATCTGTTTAAGAGAAAATATCTATACGACCAGATCCATTTCATTATTGAATGGCTTGATGGATTTCCTTTACTCTGATACACACCAAAGCTGTCCTTATCAACCAAAGCAAGAAAGGATCCTGCATGAGTCAATCACAGAATGCCATTTTTACATCACCAACAGGTGAAGAAAACCTCATGAATAGCAATCACAGAGACTCAGAGAGTATCACTGGTGAGTCCAGTTTAATAAATATTGAAGTGCTATTCCTTACAGGATAAAATGCAGATGCCTCAGTCTAGTATATAAGATCTACCATGATGAAACCCTGGCTTCGCTTTCCAGCCTGATCTCCTGAGAGATCCACTGAATTAATATTTCCTTCTCCTAGGCCCTTACTGAATTATCAAAATCTGCCTTGTGTCTTCTGTGTCATCTATGTTGGATTCTTCTGTACCATGTGAGCCCTGGTCAGAAGGAACTGCATCATACTTACTCTCTTCCCATCTTGCCTTTCTATTCATATCTTCCTATCCCTACAAGGAAAGAGTTGCTTGCGTTTATATACCTTGCAAGCATGTGACAACATTTAGGCACTTAAGAAGCTCTCAGGACATAAAGGTTATTCAAACATGGGTATGGGCCCATAAGCCCTTATCTGTAAGACCAAATCAAAACAACTCTGAATACTCAAAGTTTTTTCTAGACTTTGGTTCTTAAATTCATTGGTCCACAAAGCTTGACTTGTGTAGCTGTTTCTAGATTTATCTCACTTAGCGTGAATATTTGCTTGCTGAATGTGTATTAATGTATTTAAATATGGGGTGCTGCTACAAAACCAGTTGGTGATGTTATATATCGTATAGTAGATGCTTAGCACTACCTTTCTAAAACTCCAAAAAATTCTGAAGTCCATCCAAACCCAGTTTTTTTCAAATTTTTATTCAGTTTTATTGTGATATCTCCCCTCTTCTGTAACTCCAATTGCATGTATGTTAGACTGCTTGATACTGTGACACAAATCACTGATGATCTGTTCATTTTCCCCCCAGTTTTTTTTTTTTTTCTTAATGCTTCATTTTCGATTGTTTCCATTACTATGCCTTCAAGTCTACCTCAGTTCTTTTCATTTGGGGAATGTCTAATCTGTTAATGTTACCCAGTGAGTTTTTCAATTTAGACATTGTACTCTAGTTCTACTCGGGTTTTATAAAGATCGATATAAGTTCTGTTTCTTTTCATCAGGTTTATGTTTTCCTTTTAAATCTTTGAGCATATTAGGGGCGCCTGGGTGGCTCAGTTGGTTGAGCGTCTGACTTCAGCTCAGCTCATGATCTCTCCGTCCGTGAGTTCAGGCCCCGCATCAGGCTCTGTGCTGACAGCCAGAGCCTGGAGCCTGTTTCGGATTCTGTGTCTCCCTCTCTCTCTGCCCCTCCCCAGCTCATGCTCTGTCTCTGAAAAATGAATAAACCTTAAAAAAAAATTTAAATCTTTGAGCATATTAATAATTGCTGTTTTTAAATTGTTGTTTACTATTTTTATCATCTTTGTCATTACTGAGCCTATTTCTATTGATTCATTTTCCAACTGGTAATGGATTACAGTTTGCTTATTCTTTGCATATCTAGTAATTTTTGACCAAATACTGAATATTTTGAATGTTACATTGTTAGATGTTTAGATTTTGTTGTCTTCCTTGGAAGAGTGTTAAAATTTGTTCTGGCGTGTCCTTAAAGTTACATGCTGATAGGGGCGCCTGGGTGGCGCAGTCGGTTAAGCGTCCGACTTCAGCCAGGTCACGATCTCGCGGTCCGTGAGTTCGAGCCCCGCGTCGGGCTCTGGGCTGATGGCTCAGAGCCTGGAGCCTGTTTCCGATTCTGTGTCTCCCTCTCTCTCTGCCCCTCCCCCGTTCATGCTCTGTCTCTCTCTGTCCCAAAAATAAATAAACGTTGAAAAAAAAAAAAAAAGTTACATGCTGATAAAGTTGATCCTTTTGAGACCTGGCCTTTTTTTTTTTTTTTTTTTTTTTTATGAATATAATTTATTGTCAAATCACTTACATACAACACCCAGTGCTCATCCCAACAAGTGCTCTCCACCATGCCCATCACCCATTTTCCCTCTCCCCCACCCCCCCATCCACCCTTAATTTGTTCTCTGTATTTAAGAGTCTCTTGTGGTTTGTTGAGGCTTGTTTTTAATCTTTGTTATGTGGGTCTCTAGATCACACTTTAGATCATACTGTAATATGCTTTGTTCTAGCATTAATTTAATCCTACTACCAGTAGGTATGGCCTAAGATCTTTACTGATTATCCCACCTGTTCATAAGGGTTTTCTACAATGGCTAGATGAAATTCTGACCTCTTTTTGCCTTGTGTAGGAGAGTGACATAATGTAGATATGAAGATGTAGATGAAAATTTGAGTGTATGCGAGCAAACCAGTTTTGAGGCTCTTCAAGAGGAACAAGAGGAGTCCTTGATATTAAATGGACACAATGTGGCTACAAAGAATTGGGCATATGGAAGGGACATTTGAAAGATAAATGTTAGCAAGGGAATTGTTAAGACTGGATAATCAGAGAAAGATATCACATGATTTCACTCATATGTGGAATTTGAGAAACTTAACAGATGATCATAGGGGAAGGGTAGGAGAAAGAAAATAAAAACTGAGAGGGAGGCAAACCTTAAGAGACTCTTACATACAGCAAACAAACTGAGGGTTTATGGGGGTAGGGAAAATGGATGATGGGCATTAAGGAGGGCACTTATTGGGATGAGCTCGGGTGTTATATGTGATGAATCACTGGAATCTACTCCTGAAGCCAAGACTAACACTGTATGTTAAATAACTTGAGAATTAAGGGAAAAAAAAAAAAAAAAAGACTGGATAATCAGAAAAAGAAAAGAGGATAAGCAGGAGAGTAGTAAATAGCACATTATTAGAAACACAGAAGCAAATAGGGGGAGCTAGTCAAGGATATTTAGCCTACTAAACCTTGATTGTATACTCATTTTATTTTAGAGGGGAGGGGAGAGGGACAGAGAGAGAAAGAGAATCTTAAGCTCCATGCTCAGCATGGAGCCCCATGTGGGGTTCAGTCACATGACCGTGGGATCTTGACCTGAGCTGAAATCGAGTTGGATGCTTAACTGACTGAGCCACCCAGGTGACCCATGTGTACTCATTTTTAAAATTACCTCTTGCAAATAGGGAATTGGTAACCTTAAATTTTCATTAGAATTCAATAATAATTAGAATTCATAAATAATTCATTAGAATTTCATTAGTACATATTAAAAGACAATTTCTAGGAAATAATGGCTCTATTAATGAAAGATAAATTTTGTTCTTCATTTCCATTATACCCCTGAATTGCCTACAAGCCTGTTTTTAGGTCTGCATATATTTATAGTCAACTTCTCTTCCTGTGAGTATTACACTGACTATCTGTATGTGATATATTTATGGCAGGAAAAAATTGGATAATCGCATGGAATTTGTAGTAATAAAATTTGGTTGTATTTTTAGGGCTTTTAAAGAGATCTGCTAAGGGTTGAGAGCTTCTTTAGAACCATATTTAAAGTTAAATGTACCTCATCTATGTGATTATATATCTCATCTTTGTGATTATGAAGTTACTGCTTGTCCTGGGTAAAGAGGGGTATGTGATGGGGTATGTGGTATTGTTAACTTCCTCATATTTGATTTATTAAACTGTTATTGTTAAGGTCAAGTTGTAGAAATTTACTCTTTTAAGATGTTTTCTTAAAATGAACTTTGTTGTTTTTTGCCAGAGTTAGAATATGTTTCTTTATACTACCCACAAAGGAAATATCAGATCTCTTTATAAAGTGTGAGGGTTGATATGACATCCTGTGTTTCTCTATTTTAAGCATGTTAAAAGGGATAAGTTTACTTTTTTGGTAAACTGCTAAATTTGGCAAGTGTTAAATGATGGGCCGTATTTGGAACAGGAAGCCAGGAGCAAACACAGAATAGAGGCAGAGAAGCCAAGTGTGTTCAGAGATGTATATGCAGGAAGTAGCTAGAGGTGTGTGGGTGAGAGAGTAGTGATGTGAAAGGTATTCAGGACTTCAAATGTAGTACATCTTTAAAATAAAAATGATAAAGTACTTATTCCAGTACTAGTGCTAGAACACTGCTGAAATGTTAATATTACTGGTTAACATTTAGCCAATAAATGTTTATTTTTTATGTCTAACTGCTGTGAGAATATACTGAAATATAATTTTTCTAAAGTTTAAAGAATACTCCCACAGAGTTTAAATTCTCTTATTAAAGAACATGTCATTTTATTCCTTTTGAACTAGCTATTTTCTGGTGGTTGTTTTGTGTTGCCTTTTTCTCCCAAGTATATAATTTATTTGAGGTCAGATCTCTTTTAAGCAACACTAAATAGACTGATAAGGAGGAAATATGAAATGTGTCCAAACTCATTTAAAATTTTAAAAACATAGTTATATTCACCAAGCAATATATATATGTATCTTTCTTGAACTGTCTGGTTTTTTTTTTTTTTAATTGATCTATATAAATTTAAGTTAGTTAACATACAATGTAGTAGAGGTTTCAGGAGTAGAACCCAGTGATTCATCACTTACATGTAACACTCAGTGCTCATTACAAGTACCCTCACTGATGCCCATCCCCCTACACAGCTCCCCTCCAGCAACCCAGGCAGTATATTTTTAAATAGACTATAATTAAAATTCATGGTATTATTTTTGCTATAGAAGTTTTCATATTAAAAAAAGCTAGAGAATGACCAACTATATAGTACCAGCATATATTAGTAAAAATCATTGGAGAAATTATCCCAACTAGTGTTTCTGTGGTTATCCTACTTTTAGAAACTAATTTCACTGATATTTTCTCTGTAACTAGTAAATTGGAATATTTTGGATTCATTTACATGGAATCTCCTCTTTAGATGTCTGCTCCAATGAGGATCTCCCTGAAGTTGAGCTGGTAAGTCTGCTAGAAGAACAGCTACCCCAGTATAAGCTAAGAGTGGACTCTCTATTTCTATATGAAAATGAAGACTGGACTCGGTCCCCACACCAGCAGCAGCATGCATCTGATGCCCTCTCTCCAGTCCTTGCTGAAGAGACTTTCCATTATATGAGTGAGTATTTTTTAGCCTTTTAGACTTTGTCCATTGAAATAAAGATGATAAGTATCTTGGTGTTGACTTTTAAGAAGTTTTAAAAGTCATTTAAAAGCATTTAAAAAGTCATTTAAAAGCATTTAAAAAGCATTTAAAAGCATTCCTAGCCATTGTTCATTGTGTACCTACTTGAACTCAAACTGATTTAACAACACAGAGAGATGATTCTGTGTTATGTCTGAATGTAGAAGGTTTGTCATTCTTTACAACTCTGAGTGTCTGTGGTTGCAAGCATACTCAGATATTTCCATTTCTTCGTTCTTTTATTTGATACTGTTCTCAGACTGAGTAGAAAAAGGAACTTAAAAAAAAGTAGTTGAAATTTTAATTTAAAATTTTAAAATTCCTTTATATCTCAAAGCATTTATTATATCAGTAGTTTGATATACTGAGCCATCAGCTTTTTGACTTTATATTTCCTGGTAAACACAGTCGTAGAAACTGTGTTAGTCATTAAGAAGCATAGTTTTTGGATACATAAGTAGTTTTAATAATTAAAGTATGGAGACCTTTTTGCTTTTGACTTCATTCCAAACATCTGCTTTCAGGTTGAGCTGACTTTTTTTTATTCATTCACTATAAAAATATGTGCATAGTAGCTGTTAGGATATATAAGAAAAGTCTATAAGTTCAACATTGATATAATTGATATATTGATATAAATTGATAAATTGATAAAATTGTTTTCATTTGAGTTACATATGACATTGCATCAGTTCCTACACATTTTCCCAGTGAGTGCTTCAGTGTTTTGTTTTGTTTTGTTTTGTTTTTTAAATTTTTTCAACGTTTTTATTTATTTTTGGGACAGAGAGAGACAGAGCATGAATGGGGGAGGGGCAGAGAGAGAGGGAGACACAGAATCGGAAACAGGCTCCAGGCTCCGAGCCATCAGCCCAGAGCCTGACGCGGGGCTCGAACTCACGGACTGCGAGATCGTGACCTGGCCGAAGTCGGACGCTTAACCGACTGCGCCACCCAGGCGCCCCCAGTGTTTTTAATGATTGTTGTGAAATGCTCATTTTCATAATAATTTTTTTAGTAATCATTTTTATAGTAATCATTAACTTGCTTTTAGTAGTTTTCCTAGAACCAGGTTACGTACTACTCAGGAAAAAAATTATAAACATTGTTTAAACTTGAGGGGCGCCTGGGTGGCACAGTCGGTTAAGCGTCCGACTTCGGCCGGGTCACGATCTCGCGGTCCGTGAGTTCGAGCCCCGCGTCGGGCTCTGGGCTGATGGCTCAGAGCCTGGAGCCTGTTTCCGATTCTGTGTCTCCCTCTCTCTCTGCCCCTCCCCCGTTCATGCTCTGTCTCTCTCTGTCCCAAAACTAAAAATAAAAACGTTGAAAAAAAAATTAAAAAAAAAAAACAAACAAAAACAAAAAACATTGTTTAAACTTGAAATGGAATATCAAGAAACTCAAAACTATTTCTTCCTCAACAATTCTTATAAGTAGCTGACTATTAAAGTTCTTAAGGTTTTCTTAACTTTCAAGTTTGAGAAGTTGTTTGCGAATTTCTGAAAAGTACTTATTTTTTATTTCCATTTCTCTTTGTTCCATACATTTTTAGATTTGTGAGAAAATTTCAAACTGGAATTTCATCAGGATAAATTTAGTTTTTGTCACTATTTTGATAAAGTGGCACAGAAAGTGCCCCTTTGTTTACTTTTTCTTTGTCATATACGCCACAAGAGGATGGAACTGTAGCTAGAAAGCTGTCTTAAATCACGATTTAACGGAGTTACTTTTAGAGAGAATGTTAAGTAAAAATAAATTTTGGAAAATAAATGATAATCAAATTATAAAATACTTGGGTTTTCAGGACTTTATACAAAGCAAACCATAGTATTCAAGGGAGCAGTTTAAAACTCAAGATTAATAGGATGATACAGATTCCCTTATTCTAAATGTACTATTTTCACTTCAGCAATTTGAAAATTGGACTATATATGATATACTTAAGGTCATGAAGCAAATAAGCTATGATTATAATTGGTCCACTAATACTTTATCTCTGTACTGTAATTTCACTGTTATTTTAAAAGTATCAGTTCTGGGGCGCCTGGGTGGCGCAGTCGGTTAAGCGTCCGACTTCAGCCAGGTCACGATCTCGCGGTCCGTGAGTTCGAGCCCCGCGTCGGGCTCTGGGGCTGATGGCTCAGAGCCTGGAGCCTGTTTCCGATTCTGTGTCTCCCTCTCTCTCTGCCCCTCGCCTGTTCATGCTCTGTCTCTCTCTGTCCCAAAAATAAATAAACGTTGAAAAAAAAAAATTAAAAAAAAAAAAAAAGTATCAGTTCTTTGGGTTAATAGTTCATTAACCCATTTATTTATATTTAATAAACTTCATTATGAATTTGTATGTTATGAATATAAAAGATAAGTGATTTACTTCATTTAGCAAATTGACCAATGTTTTAAAAAGCAAGATATAAAACATTCTCTGACCCTTTCTAGCAGTTTTCTGTCCCTTTAAGATATCAAGATCCATGGCTCTGAATAATTATTATATACCCTGACAGGCCATCCTAGGGTTTAGCTCCTTGGTGCTACTCCAGCCCCTTCTAATCCATACTTTCCTCACTTGCCAGTAGATACTTGTACTCATTAAAATGAATTTTAACAACTAATAAAAAAGAGGTGGCCCAGGCAGAGAAACTTCCGTAACACAAAGAAATTGAAAGAGCTGTGAGAAGAAAAATAAATTCAGAGGGAAACATGGGCAGGATTTGGGGTTGTGAGCCTACCTCACATGGATGAAAGGATACTGGTTGTTCTCTGAAGCCCCCACCAAACCAGGAAGAGATTGTTTACTTTTAAAATAGAACACTTGGGAGCAATGGGTGGGTCCAAAAAATGATTCCATCCTACTCTCTGCCATATATAAAGTTTAAGATACAGAATATTTTGCATGCAGAACAGGTCATTTCAGGATTTTCTTAACTTTATTAAGAGAGAGACCCAGAGGGGCGCCTGGGTGGCTCAGTCGGTTAAGCGGCCAACTTCGGCTCAGGTCATGATCTCACGGTCTGTGAGTTCGAGCCCTGCGTCAGGCTCTGTGCTGACAGCTCAGAGCCCGGAGCCTGTTTCAGATTCTGTGTCTCCCTCTCTCTCTGCCCCTCCCCTGTTCATGCTCTGTCTCTCCCTGTCTCAAAAATAAATAAAATGTTAAAAAAAAAAAAAAAAAAAAAAAAAAAAAAAGAGAGAGAGAGACCCAGAGTGAGCTGTGGAGCAAGCAGTAAAGTCAGAGCACATCATAACAGAAAGTACCATTTGTTCATGTTAAGGCTAAAAATAGAAACCTGATCTGCCTTTCAGAGTATTTTTTATTTGGGAATAAGGGATCACCTGTACCACTTTCTAATGTGTAAGAAAAAGGGTTGGGGGAAATGATTAGCTTTATAAGTTTTATTTAAGGGATCAACATCACTTGGGAACTTGTTAGAAATGCAAATTCTTGGGCTCCTACCCTTATCTACAGAACCAGAAATTCTAGGACTGGGCACGGCAGTCTGTGTTTTAAAAGTCCTGGTAGTGCTGATGCACACGCAGATTTGAGAACCACCAGTATAAAGCATTGTCAACCAAAGCTATGTGGCCATTTCACAGTGATGTTAATTGGAGGATTTAAGGAATTAGGGAGGTTGTACAATTTTGTAGAGAAAGAAGGTTGTAGAAATAATTACTTCTGGCTGGCAAGTTATACTTTTCCTCAAGGCCTGCCCTCAAAAATTATTAATCTGGGGCGCCTAGCTAGCTCAGTTGGAGGAGCATGAGACTCTTGATCTCAGGGTCATGAGTTCGAGCCCCATTTGGGCTGTAGAGATTACTTAAATAAATAAAACTTAAAAGAAAATAAAGCACAGAACTTAAAAAAAAATGACTATACTGTCAGGAAATGAAATATAACTGATAATGTTCGGGAAGCATTAACCATAAGTCAGATAATGGAAGTTAGCAGATTTATATTTACTCTCAACCAGTTCCACAAAATAATTAACTCATATGCCTCAAGACATCTATTGAGTATTATCCATGGAAGAATTGAGAAAATTGTCTCACTCAAATCATTATCAGTAGGGCTTAATTCTCACCTGGAACCCTGTTGAGAAAGGCTGTCGTAGGTTGTACATATCATCAGATGCCTTCTCTTTGTTCTCAGTTCTTTTGAAGGCAGTTTTTTGTATTGCAGAAATATTATCTGTAGTATACACCAAGAGCAGCAGTTGTTTATTTGGGGTTAAAACTGTAAGACTTGTCTGTACTTATCAGGAGCTCTGCAGCTTTTACTATGCCATGTGGGAGGTGTGTATTTCATTTTTGCTTTTTGTTGTTTTAGAGTTTTTGCTGTGAGAGGGTTGGAGAGATTAGAAGTCTAGTTAGTTAGTTAGTTAGTTAGTTAGTTAGTTAGTTAGTTCGTTCGTTCGTTAGTTATGGGAGAGAGAGAACATGAACAGAGGAAAGGGGCAGAGGGACAGAGAGAGAGAATCCCAAGCAGGCTCTACGTTCAGCACGGAGCCTAATGCAGGGCTCAGTCCCACAACACTCGGATCATGACCTGAGCCGAAATCAAGAGTTGGATGCTCAACTGACTGAGCCACCAAGGGACCCCTAGGAGTCTTTTTGAATTTCAGTAATTGTGGTAAAAACTTTAGACCTTGAAAAGGAACATTGACAGAAATATCAAGCACCATCTCATATAAATTACAGAGATATCGAAATAGATTAACATTGGCCCTTCTCATCCTGAAAAACGTGAGATTGGGTGGTTGATGTGAAATTATGCAGAATTAGAACTTAAAGTAAGGATTGGTAAAGGACTTATGTATATTCCCCCTCCAGTATTTTTTTCAGGAATGTTAAATTCTCCAAATATTATACCAAAAATGTTGAATGTTAATTAACTTTTATAAAACCAAGTTGCAAGACTGTTCAGTAAAAATGTTTATCATCCCCACTAATGTATAATTTTTTTTTTAGAGAGTTAGGAATTTCATGTCTGGAAAAAAGGAACATTGCTAATTTTTTACCACATAACATTTTTATTTTAACAGCTGAGAACTGAAGGGAAAATAAGATTTAATAGGATTGATTATAATAAAATCAGTCATCTTGGCTCTGCATTTTCAGTCGAAGAATTGCAGTGAAGATTTAGTCTATCACTTTGGAAACATTTCGTTGCATTGCCTAAATGCCAAGAGTAAACTTAAGAGCTTTGCCCTACTTTTGGAATCTTCCCAAGTGGCATAGCTACCAGGAGTACTGTGTTAAAGAAGACAAGACAAAACTGATAAGGCCGCAGAGAGGAATTCATTGTGTTTCTGTGTGCTTTGTGACTGACATCAGTTGAGCTGCTCTGTGTAATTGAGGTGGCCCCCAGCCTTTGGGGCTCGGTAGTGTATATAGACTGTTTCACATAAAACAAAAATTGGCGGGGCACCTGGGTGGCTCAGTCAGCTAAGCGTCTGCCTTTGGTTCACGTCATGATCTCATGGTTCGTGAGTTTGAGCCCCGCATCTGGCTCTCTGCTGTCTGTGCAGTGGTGCAGAGCCCACTTCGGATCCTCTGTCTCCCTCTGTTTCTGCCCCTCCCCTGCTTGAGTGCTCACTCTCTCTCTCTCTCAAAAATAAATAAATAAAAACTTTTTAAAAATCCAAAAAAATAAAAATAAAACAAAAATGTAGAATCCTGGTTGCATTATCTAACTTCATCGCCATAATAAATATTTAGGCATTTGAAAATTCATTTTTGCTTTTTGAAACCTCTGAATAAGAGCTGCTATTTTTTTATTGCAAAGATAACATTTATCTTCTTGGAAAATTAGCAAAAGAAAGAAAACAAGAGATCAACCATAATCCCTACCCAGAGATAACCACTAATGTGTATCCTTCCAGCCTGTCTTCTATATCAATGTGTATAAGATAATGCTCACGATTTAAAAACAAAATTGGGATCTGTGTTGTTTTGTAACTTGCATTCACAGATGGATACTCAGTATTTCATCAGATAAAGGCCTTCTGATCTTGGTAGGACTGTGGTAGAAACAGCAGCATGGTGCAGAGCCCATTACTGAGAATGAGCAGACCCAATTTTTTTCTTATGACCTTGTGAGATGGGAGTTGTTATCACCCCATTATTATCCTCACTATTATTAGTTTCTCCTCAGTAAAATATGTTTTATTCTATACATTTCTTTTCTGTATTACTGTGTCCTTTGTTTTCCTGTTTCTTCATGTGTGACTTGTAGCTCATAGCTCTTTATTACATCCTTAACTTACTGGTTTTACTTCAGAATAAAATTACCACTTTATCTTCAACTCTGGTCAATCATATAACATAAACTATGTCATATATTGTTTAAATTAGTTTTATAAAAACTTTTTTAACTGAGTCTCTAGGATTCCTAGTTCTTGCTTGGAGTGTTACTCCTGAATTGGTAGTTTTTATTGCTAACTCCACATCAGAACACCTGGGCATCTTTTACTTACTGTGTGTGCTGTGGGGCTCCTCTAAATCAATTAAATTAGAGTCTAGAGATAGACCTATCACCCTGGATTACATTTGGGTTTGCAATCATTGGCTAGTTTTCTGCTAATAATTTAGAGCATAGATATGGTTTGATTTTTTTCCCTTAGCTTATTATTGAGGAGTAATAGGAGTAGAGGAGACCTCACACTATAAGTAAATTATGAAGATTCTGTGGGCCTGTTCCCGTATCCCAGTGGTTAAATTACAGAGCCAGTTTTTCTACTTGTAAATATAAATCCTTGTGGGGTGAAAATGTTTCTATCCAGATCTTTTTAGTTTTCTATCTCATATCACTATCAATCTAGCACTTTGTTTTACTTTTACCTAAGAATAAAACTGTCATTAATAATTAAGCTCTAGGTAGTTCTCAGATTCATTTTAAGCAGTTTTGCCAGGAAGAAAAATAAAAAGCTAAAATAAAAGTAAAACATGTCTAATGGTGTCTTTTGGGCAACCTCAAGGTTAAGATGGGACTAAGGAACTACAAGTGACTTATATCATAGTATCTGCTGCCAATACAGTGCATTATTTACAGAAAATTTTAAATCAAGGCTATTTCACACATACCAGATGTGTTTAAGAGTAGTAACTGTAGGGGCGCCTCGGTGGCGCAGTCGGTTAAGCGTCCGACTTCAGCCAGGTCACGATCTCGCGGTCCGTGAGTTCGAGCCCCGCGTCGAGCTCTGGGCTGATGGCTCGGAGCCTGGAGCCTGTTTCCGATTCTGTGTCTCCCTCTCTCTCTGCCCCTCCCCCGTTCATGCTCTGTCTCTCTGTGTCCCAAAAATAAATAAAAAACGTTGAAAAAAAAAAAGTAGTAACTGTAAACAGTAGTATAACACTTAATAGTATTTTAATACTGCTCATTACATTATCGTATTTCATTCTCCTAGTGACCTTGTGAGATGAGTGTTATTACCTCTATATTATAAATACAGAATATGAATTTTGGAAGGGTTAAGTGACTTATTCAAGTTCACTCAAATCCATAAATTCAGCACTTCTTTAAAGCCTCTTATTTTTTCACACTTCAAGGCAAACTAATTGTAAAATCAGTCTAAATCAAACACAGATCTGTTTCATGTAATGCACTCCAGAATGAAAAGATCTCTCTTTTATTATAAGATCTCTTTTTATTATTATTAAGCATCATTAGCTTAAAAAAGTATCGCTTATTGGGGTGCCTGGGTGGCTCAGTTAACCATCCGACTTCGGCTCAGGTCACGATCTCACAGTTTGTGGGTTCGAGCCTCGCATTGGGCTCTGTGCTGACAGCTCAGAGCCTGAAGCCTGCTCCAGATTCTGTGTCTCCCTTTCTCTTTGCCCCTCTCCTGCTTGTGCTCTCTCTCAACAATAAAATATACATTTAAAAAAATGGGTTTTTTAAAGGTATTGCTTATTGTGACTGTGGAATCATTGGGGTCATATTTGTCATTCTCTTTGGAGCTATAATATGCAATGTATCGACAGTTCCTGAATTTAATGCAGAATTACTGGACTTAAATTATGCAAGTAATAGTGTATTATACAGTTTATCTTATAGCAAAGGCCTAGATATGATAGAGATTATCATTAATTAAACTAAAAAGGATTATGCCTCATAACAGAACTATAAAAAGTCCTACAAGTCCTATTCCTTGTTTATTGATTTTAGCTCACATGATAGATGATCATAGATATTGAAGATAATCACATCAGAATTCTAATTAAATTCATTTGTAATAGCATAACCCCTCACTAAGTAAGTCACCCCTCAGGAACTTTAATTTAGATTAGGGTATAAAATAATTGGTGATTTAATCCATTCTTCAGGGCCACAGTCCCTAATGTGAGTGGACCAAAGTTCTAATCTTATTGAGGGAGGAAGAGATAGGAAGTGGTTGCCTGATGATCATTTGATACTTTTTTAATTCATTGTATGATATATATTTTGTTTGTAATAATTGGTCTGTTTTCTGAGTGTCTATTTTCTATTTTCACATATATTTTTAATCTCCTGAATGGCACTTTTGTAAAAGCCTGGAGTGGTGGTGGTGGTTGTTGTGATCTTTCAACTATTATGAATATTTAAAATTCTCTGTTGTTTCTAAATCCTATAAACAGTTGTTTTAAACTGTCTCAGTTCTAGGCACAGACAGGGTGGAGCAGATGACCAAAACTTACAATGACATCGACATGGTTACACACCTCCTGGCAGAGGTAAGAATATATCTTTTCTTTCTCCAGTACAAAAAGCTAAAACTTGAAGATCATTTAACATCTATCAAGTTTGCACATCAAATGAAAAAGGAGGATGTCTTTGTTCTGGGTTGTTTTGTATAAGGTTGTTACAGATGGAACAGCTGGCATTCCAAAGTAGAATGGTTCCTAAAGTTTATTGTTATGACGTTGCAGAGGGTTTAATTTTTGTTGTTGCTATTATAATGATGCTGGCTTTCTTATTCTAGAAAAGCTATCAAAAAAAAAAAAAGTTGATGGTGTTTTGGTTTTTTTGTTTGTTTTTTGTTTTTTGTTATTTTAATAAATTCCTGCTGTTACCCTGGAGCAGAGCAGCCCATTCAAGAAGCAGCTCCATTGCAAATCAATACCAGCAGTTTGCATCATCTTCCCTTTTTTACTTTCAGTTTGGACTATTATTTGAGCTCACTTTGTCCGTGACATTTTTAATATATAGTGTATCTCTTCCAAATGGCGTTCTTAGAGGTATCTCCTTATACTGCAACTTCAGTTGGTCTTGAAACTGTCTTTCTCTTTAAAGTACCCTTCTCCCCTCTCCCCCCCAGCTCCCTAGAATGATTTGGTGTATGCCATTTAGCCTATATTGAAAATGAGATACATTGGGCCTTGAAAATTTGGAGATAATTCATCTACCTCTTTTCATGTATTATAGAGCAAAAGAATAGAGGCTTAATTCTATCTGTATACAGTGATTAATGTAAGTGGAACCCATGCTCATATATAAGGTAGCTAGTGTATATTGACAGTTTTCATCCTACAGGATACAGTCCTCACCACCAACGCATAGATGGGATTCCTACACCCTTGCTAAGTATCACCATCTGCTTAGGACAAGTAACTCTTGGTTTGCTTGGCTATTCTATAGGCCTCCCTGCATCATTACCACCAACTTCTTTATACTCCCTTCTTTATGTTTCAGCAGAACCTGTAACCTCAAAATTTCTAGTCTGCTATCCCCTCTTTTATCTCACATTATCATTCTTGCAACAGTTGACAGTAGGGCTCTTGATTATGCTTTCCTCTAAGCCTCTGGCTCTGAATGCATAGAAGCTTTCCCATAATTGGAACTTTTTTCAACATATGTGCTGTATCATTACCATGTTTAATAGACAAATGCTCAACAAATATTTGTTGGGCTTTCACTGTGTGCCAGGCCCTATCCTCATTTTCTAAAGACTGTATTGATTTTTTAATTCCCCAAAATCATAAATTTAAAGGTTGGGTTTCTTGAGTAATTAATAGGGTGATCAGTAAATCTCACTTGATTTAGGGGTGCCTGGGGGGTTCAGTCATTTGAGTATCTGACTCTTGATTTCAGTTCAGGTCATGATCCCAGGGTCGTGGGATCAAACCCCACATCGGGCTCCCTACTGGGTGTGGAATCTGCTTGGGATTCTCTCTCTCCCTCTTCCCCTCTCCCCTGCTTGCTCTCTCTAAAAAATAAAATAAATCTCACTTGATATCAAGAAGAAAAATGCCCTCTTGCATTTATTACTATGGCCGTCATCCATTTGACCAGTGTGTATTAAACACTATATGTGTGTCAAGCCCTGTGTTTATTTGTGGTATCTGGGCATTAAAATGAATCTTGATGCTTTCTGGGACATTCCTTGTGAGTGAACAAAATTGCAGAATTTCTAAACTGCCATTTAAATTTTTTTTTGTACTCAAAAGATATATTTGGTATTTTAACAGAGGGATCGTGATCTGGAACTAGCTGCCCGAATTGGACAGGCTCTCTTAAAACGGAACCATGTCTTGTCTGAGCAGAATGAAGCTCTGGAGGAGCAACTGGGACAAGCCTTTGATCAAGTAAGTCTTTGATCAAGTATTTATAGCATGAAATAATTAGTTACTGGACAATAGAAAAGTTTATTTTTCTGGGTGCCCCTGAAGTGATAACAATAGGTAGATAAATAACACCAGTACATGTTAACTTTGTTGTCAGCCATTGAACTAACCAGTAGAGAAATTAAATGTTATTGTACAGAGAAGTGTTCAAGTGACTCTACCTTAGTCAGTATAAAAAAAATATGGTAGGTACTGTGTTCAGTACCTATCATACATGTGTCACCCTGCTAAGATTCTAACACTTTTCCTCCTCCCTTTGTGTAGACTTTCTGTGTGATCTTATCTTAAATTTATTTTGAAAAAATAACCCTAAATAATAGATACCCAAATGAAGCATCTTTATTCAGAAACCCAAAGAAGAAGAAAAGGAAATTTTGAAAATATATTTATTTCATGCAGTAAATATTTTTTAGTGAGAACCAATTTATTATTAACTTGAATGGTTACTTTTCAAATTTCCTTTAATTTGTTACTATCTGGTTTCATTAATATTTTATAAATGCCATTAAGTTTAATAACATTTGAGCCTTTGTGTTAGAAATAGTTTCTAGAACTATTTCTAGAAGTCACGCAGATTTATACTTAAAAGCTTTAAAGTGTAAGTCTTTAGGATGAGAATTTGAAGGAGGGGTCTATTCTGACACTTGAAAGCTTCTTCAGTTTTGTTTTTAACTGTGAATATATCATTATCTTATGTGAAAATTTCCTCCTACGTTCCTATTTATATAGAATATAAAAATTGGCTTTTCACCTAGTACAGAAAAAGCTGTCTTTGTGGAGTTAATGCTCTAACATTATATCTTAGGAAGTATGTGAGGTTCGTTATTCTCTTTTTAGCACTTGTTACCTTAGTCAATAAAATCTAGCAGCTGATTTTATAATTTTATTTTATGGTGAGAAACAATTGCTCCATGAATTAAAAGCTATATTACATGTAAATAATGCAAAATAAAGAACATCTTGTAAATCAAGCCCTTTGATGTGCAGGTTAATCAACTGCAGCATGAGCTGTCCAAGAAAGATGAATTACTTCGAATTGTCTCTATTGCCTCTGAAGAGAGTGAAACTGATTCCAGCTGTTCTACACCTCTTCGGCTCAATGAGTCCTTTAGCTTATCTCAAGGTTTGTTGCAGTTGGACATGCTACAAGAAAAACTCAAGGAACTGGAAGAGGAGAATATGGTTCTTCGATCCAAGGTACATTCAACCGAATTCCCACTTTCCTGTACCTTAAAGGCTGTAAGATTTAGGTCCATGTATTGAGGTAAAATATGGCATAACTAAGGATTTGCTATTGACATTCCAATTAGGAGGTGATAGCAAAGGCATGTGTATTTGCCTTTCATTGTCACTTAGATCCCATTCATTGACAGCTGGATAATAGCAAACTGATAGATGAAATAGAGAAAGCCACAGCACAGAATATATATGTTAGGTAGTTTACACAAATAACTAAATAATTATAACTGTGATAAGAACTATGTTGGAAGATTACAGGGTTTCCTGAACTTATGTAATGGGGGAGAATCGAAGTCCTACTTAAATGACATTTTAGCTGAAACTAGGAATTAGCCAGGCAGAAAAGTATGGTGGAGGGGAGGCATCAGAGAGAATGAGTAGGCATGTGCAAAGATCCTGAGAGGAATGAGGGGGAGATGTTTGTCATATCCTGTCCCATATCTTTATTTTTATTTTTTTATTTTAGAGAGAGGAAGAGAGAGCACACATGAGTGGGGAAGGGACAGTAAGGAAGAGAGACAGAGAGAGAGAGAGAGAGAGAGAGAGAGAGAGAGAGAATCTCAAGCAGGCTCCATTCTCAGTGCAGAGTCCAACACGGGGCTCAGTCTCAACAATTGTGAGATCATGACCTGAGCCGAAATCAAGAGTCTGACACTTAACTGACTGAGCCCACCCAGGTGCCCCCCCCATATCTTTATTTTAGATAAAGCTTTTTGGGTTTTATTTTTCCTTTTCAGCTGGTGAACTTTTATCTTCAGATGAGAATTAAAGGTTTTTTAAGTTAATACTGTAAAGTATTGGAAGATATTATCACACACTGATTTTTTTCTTTCTTGAAGGCTTGTCACATAAAGACAGAAACTATTACCTATGAAGAGAAGGAACAACAACTTGTCAATGACTGTGTTAAAGAACTTCGTATGTATTATGCGTTTTCTTTCATAGTTTTTGGGCAATTCTTTGATGGCATTTCACCAACTCAGAAGTTAAATCAATGATTTCAGTAGAGGCATCTCAAGAAACAATTTTAAATAATTACTGACAGTCTTGGAATATCATGTTGAGCCCACAACTCTAAGCAAAATACCATATGTACTTTTAAGAAATAGTTTTATTTCACATTGCCATTAAAGAAAGGCCTATATTTCTATCAGTTATAGCATGGTAGAGTGAAAATAGCCAAAGCTTTTATTTTGTCAATGGGGAAATAGTCCTATAAAGAATATGATTTGCCAAAGTTAGAAAACTTGTAAGTGGGAGAGCCAGGGCTTAAATGATGGCATAAAACTTTACCTTCAATGAGTATTGAGTGCCAACTATGTGTCTATGAAGGAACATATTTTGGTTTGATGTATTATTAATTAAAATAATTTTTAAAAATAAACCAGAAAAAGGTAGGCTTTACTAGAGAAAGATACATAATTTCTCTGTATATCTATAACATTTTATGTTGAAAGAGAAGATAGGATACATGATACCAATTCGTCTGGGCTGTTGGTGTCAGAATGTAATACCTTAGAGTAACAGAATTTTTGAGAACCACAAAGAATTTCAGTTGAATCTTCTCCATCAGCACTTCCATTATTCACATTTTATACTTTAAAAAACAAAAAGGAAATGACTTTCCCAAGAGCTTAGATCCCAATCTCCTGCCTCCTTATAGTATCCTTTGAACTGTTATAGAGCTTCTGTCAATTTTAAAATAGTTGTATATAACACTGAGAAATAGTTTTGCCACTTGAGTTTGATGTCAGAATTTTTATATGCAAAATTTCCTTCCTGCATGGAATTCTAAAGGTTCTATTTCATGTGCCTGTCAGAATGCTAGGCTAGAAGGATTTTCAGAGGCTTTACGCAGTTTGCTAGGTATCCCAGAAAGTCTCTCTTGTACAGAAACATCTCCATAGCTTTAACAGATTGTGACTGTTGCATTTGAAATGTTCCTTTTTTTTTTTTTTTAATTTTTTTTTTGAACGTTTTTATTTATTTTTGGGACAGAGAGAGACAGAGCATGAACGGGGGAGGGGCAGAGAGAGAGGGAGACACAGAATCGGAAACAGGCTCCAGGCTCTGAGCCATCAGCCCAGAGCCTGACGCGGGGCTCGAACTCACAGACCGCGAGATCGTGACCTGGCTGAAGTCGGACGCTTAACCGACTGCGCCACCCAGGCGCCCCTGAAATGTTCCTTTGTTAAATTTGTTAAGTTTAATTTTGTTTATGAGATTTTATTGATGTCCCTGAAGAGTTCTGAAAGACATAAATGAGATTATGCCTTGGTACTTGCAAACATATATAATTCACCTATCTCTTTTCAGCCTTCTTGTCCCTCATAAAGAAAAAGATTGAGGCAAAACTTTTAGCTTGCTTGCCTTTACAGGTCACCTCTTTTAGCTTCATTGCCTCTTATTCAGTTCTCAGTATTAGCCTATTTCAGAAGGACCTTTATTTTCCTCTACTTGGTTATCTGGGTTTATTTTTTATTTTTTTATTTATTTTTTTTTTTTCAACGTTTATTTATTTTTGGGACAGAGAGAGACAGAGCATGAACGGGGGAGGGTCAGAGAGAGAGGGAGACACAGAATCGGAAACAGGCTCCAGGCTCTGAGCCATCAGCCCAGAGCCTGACCCGGGGCTCGAACTCACGGACCGCGAGATCGTGACCTGGCTGAAGTCGGGCGCCTAACCGACTGCGCCACCCAGGCACCCCTGGGTTTATTTTTTAAATTAATGTTAAAGAAAAATCCATTCATAATGTTGTCCAGTGTTTGTTACAAAGTAGGATTTAGCCTACAAGCCATAGTTTGCCAACACCTACCCTACATTTATATTAATTTTTAAGTTTTTGTTTTGTTTCCCAGGTGAAACAAATGCTCAAATGTCCAGAATGACTGAAGAATTATCTGGGAAGAGTGATGAACTGATTCGGTACCAAGAAGAGATCTCCTCTCTCTTGTCTCAAATTGTTGATCTTCAGCATAAAGTTAAAGAAGTAGGTTCATTCATTCATTCAACAGATGTTTGTTAAGCATTGGCCTCATACCGTGCACTCCGCTAAGTGCTAGATACATTAAGCAAAATAAACACACTCCCTATCCGTTTACAGTGCTTTAATCTGATTACTGTTCTAGTCTTTCTGTGTCGTGAAATATGAATAACTACTTTCAACTTACTAGTTCTCGTGGCCAGGTGGGGTTAGATTTTCCTTAGAAAGTTGTGATGTGAATTATTGACAAATGATCATTGTCCTCTGAATACCTTAATAGATTTTGTATTCTGCCCATTTTATTGCTCTCATTTGGCTTTTGAAGGGTTAGCTTTTTATAGGTCTCTAGACCGTACCCCTGACAGACACTCTTAAGATGTCTTTAGGGGCGCCTGGGTGGCTCGGTCGGTTGAGCGTCCGACTTCGGCTCAGGTCATGATCTCACGGTCCGTGAGTTCGAGCCCCACGTCGGGCTCTGTGCTGACAGCTCAGAGCCTGGAGCCTGTTTCGGATTCTGTGTCTCCCTCTCTCTCTGCCCCTCCCCTGTTCATGCTCTGTCTCTCTCTGTCTCAAAAATAAATAAACGTTAAAAAATTAAAAAAAAAAAAAAAAAAGATGTCTTTAAAAGGGGCGCCTGGGTAACTCAGTCGGTTAAGCATCCGACTTCATCTCAGGTCGTGATCTCGCGGTTCGTGAGTTCGAGCCCCACGTCGGGCTCTGTGCTGACAGCTCAGAGCGTGGAGCTTACTTGAGATTCTGTGTCTCCCTCTCCCTCTGCCCCTCCCCTGCTCACGGTCTGTCTCTTGCTATCTCTCAATAATAAATAAATGTTAAAAAAAAAAAAAAAAAGATGTCTTTAAAAAAAAGAGAGTAGCCTGTACTTTATATGGAAAGGCTTCACTTGTCTCTTTTAAAATGTTGTTAGCATGTGATTGAGAAGGAGGAACTGAGACTTCACCTACAAGCTTCCAAAGATGCCCAAAGACAACTGACAATGGAGGTAATCAAATCTTCCTTTATTTTGTGTAATATGGTGGGGAGAAGAATGAAGAGTTTTGTTTCATCTTCGTGAGTAAGAATGATTAAAGGTAATTACTGGATTTTAAATAGCAAGAGATTAAATTATGAGATCTAAGAAGTAAAGCAATTTAAAAATTCTGTCCCTGAAACTAATAACATGACATCTTTCTTGATTAATAGATATAAGATTCTGTAGGAATATGTGACCCTTTTACCAGTTTACCTTAACCCAACAGTTTTTAAAATAATTTCTAATAAGTGTTTTTGCAAATATGTCAGAAGAAATACCAAAAATCTTTTGCTTTCAATCCAAATAAAAATTCTATGTATTAGATACAATTTGGTGGTTCCCTGGCATACGTTAAGAATCACCTGGCAGAATGAGTCCTAAATAGAGACTCACAGGCACCAGCCCCAAAAGTTTCCAATTGAGTAGGTTTAGAATAAGGGTCTAGAATCTACATGATCCACTCCACACACCACACTTGAAGAAATACTCTGAAAATTGTGTACTCTTTTACCATGCTTATGTATCTAACTATAAAGAAGATTCTGAAACAAGGGAGAAGAAACTACTTGTTTAGGATAATTGACCACCCTGGCATCATATACAATACTTTGTAGGCTTGATCTTGTCATTTACAGACTTCAGAGTGACATTTAAAAATATGCATAGCTAACATTATACTAAACCATAGTATAATGTTAATAGATAGTTTATAGATAGATAATAATAGACCATAGCTATTATTCTTCCTCTATAAGTTTTTTTAAGGGTTTGAAGCATTAAATATTGAATTGACAATAATTATGATTACTTCAGCTACATTTCAGATTTTTCGGGAATCATATTTATGTATAATTCTGGCCAAGACATTCCTAATTCTGGTGACTTGAAATATATATGTATACACTCTCCTTGCTTAGTTTGTTTTGGAGTCTTTGTATTGAAATTGTTTCATGAGGTTATCTAGCCCTCTGGATAAAATTAATACTTATCCCAATGGGGTTTATTTTCCTGTTGTCATTTTGAGAATGAAATGAAGTACACTAATTACCATCCTTTTTTTCAGCTGCATGAGTTACAAGACAGGAATATGGAGTGTCTGGGAATGTTACATGAGTCCCAAGAAGAAATAAAGGAACTTCGTAGTAGATCTGGCCCTGCTGCTCATCTTTACTTTTCACAGTCATATGGAGCTTTTTCTGGGGTGAGTTTTTCTGGGAAAGATGTTACATATTTAAGGAAACTTTTTAAGATTAGATTGTCCTGAGAGTGATGTGGTTTCTGGTGGTATAAAGTATCTTGAGAACATTTGTTTCTGTCCTTGTTTCTGGAAGTCATTTATTCATTTAGGCTTTAATTTGTATATTTACATCTACTTTAATACTCTTACTTATGGTAGCCTTTCTTCTAATAGATGACCTTCCGGGTTTATTATAATATATGAGATGAACCCTAAGGAAATTAGGTTTAGGTCTGTGTACCATAGAGCTACTTAAACTTGGGTCATCCTTACCCTAGGCCCACCACATGCCACTTATTCAAATAGTACTCTGAACATCTAAAACCTATTTCAACAGATCTCAAGTCTCTTGGTATATTTCATGCTAGTTAGAGTGTAAGCCCCATGAGGGCAGGATTCATGTTTGTTTAATTCATCAATATATAGTATTATTTGAATTAAAGAGATTAATGAAAACTTGTGAGTCTATGCCAGAATTTATAATATTGGTTCAAAGAATTATTTTAACAGTCTAGTTTGTAAATACTTATAAGCAATTCTGTGAAATATTTTAAAAAACTGAAACTATAAATTATAGTAATTTTTTGAAGAATATGGGAGCAAGACTTTGGTTTTTAACTTTTTATTTTGAAATAATTTTAAACTTAGACTAATACTACAAAAATAGTACAAAAACTCTCATATATCCTTCATCTAGATTCCCCAATTTTTAACATTTTACTACATTTGCCATATCATTCTGTTATATTTTTTCTGGACCATTTAACAGTAAGAGACACCCTATTAACTCCTAATACTTCAGTGTGTATCTACCATAAACAAGGACACTCCTATATAACTACGCTACAGCCGTCGAAGTCAGAAAACTGTCATTGATATACAATACTATCATCTCATCCACAGAGCCCTAAGTTTAAATTTTACCAGCTGTCTCAACAATATCCTTTGAAGGATATGTTGCATTTGGTTGTTTCAAAAGGCCTGTTTTACATGCCTTTCATTACCTTTGTAGCATGTCCTCAGTTTGGGTTTGTCTAATGTTTCCTCATGATTAGATTCAGGCAATTTATTTTTGGCAGAAATAATGCCATGTTCTTCTCAGTACACTGTAATAGGAGGCTCACATTGTCTATTTATCCCATTACTGATGATGTTAAATTAACTTTACTAAGTTAAGGTAGTATCTGCCAACTTTTTCTATTCTAAAGTTAATGTTAATTGATAACTAATTAAATTAATGTTGCTAAATAACTTTACAATGATGAAAATTGGCAGGTGCTACCTTAGCCAAGTGATCAAAGTTACTATTTTGTGGGAAGATACTTTAAGACCTATTTAAATATCCTGTTTTTCTCAGCAAACTTTTATCTGCTAATTTTAACACCTAGGGATGGTTCATATCTGACTCAGTTTTTACTAAGATGATTGCCAAATGGTGATTTTCTAATTCCATCATTTTTTCAACATTTATTAATCAACATTTTTTTGTCAGAACCTTTCTGTCTCATTTATTTATTCATTTGTTCATTTAGTTATGTCCATATGGACTCTTCCTATTTTAGTCAATGGATTACAGTCCATTATTACTAATTTTTATTTTGATACTTAAATTGTCCCAGATATGGCCAGCATGATCTCCTTTAAGTTCATCTTGCCCTTTTCCTGTCCCAGTCCTGGAGTCAACCATTTCTCCAAGGAGGTCTGGTTAGTTTTAATGAGGAATGATATTTAGAATTCAAGATCTGGGTCCTGTGTGTCCATTGCCACTAGAGTATCATTACTTCTAGTCCGTCTCAGCAGATAGAGCTAGAAAATATATGTATGTTCATGCATACACCCACTGAAACACATCCATATCTTTGTTCCAATCCATATTTATGTTCATCTGTCTACATGTATTTAAAAACATGAGTTCACACCAGTATCTCCAATTCTAGCCATTGTCAGCCCAGCCTCACCAAGCATGGCACTCATGCCAGTTGAACCCTCATCTCTGACCAGGGAAAAGGAAAACTTGCTTATTTTTCCTTTAATGATTTTTCTACATTATAAAAGCCATACATGTTTATTATAGAAAAGTTAGAGATTACAGAGAAGCAAAAAGAAATTGTGAAATACTGTCAAATCCTGACTTCCAGAGAATTATTATTGGGATCTTGGTTTATAGCCGTTCAGATCTTTTGGTTTTTTGTGTCTACGTAGGTAATATATTCTGTTTATCATATTGGTTTTTCCCACTGCTCGCCTGTAAAAAGATATCATGAAAAAGAAGTTGGTTCTTGTTTAAAAGTTACATTTCCAAAATGCCTCTTTTTTTTCTTTGCATTTTGGCCTGTGCCTATTTTCTTGTGTTTTCTTTTATTGTAACACCAAAAGTATTGGACCCTGGAGACTCTGTTAATTCATGTAAGGATAACCCATTTCTCCTAACCGTCTTCTTACATAATCAGTATAGTAATCTCACACTCTTTTTCTTAGGAATCCCTGGCAGCTGAGATTGAGGGGACCATGCGTAAAAAGTTGAGTTTGGATGAGGAATCTTCTCTCTTCAAACAAAAGTAAGTACAATCACATGTATTGTTACCCAGGCACTGGGATGGAATTAAAAAGAAGCCACAATCCAAAGTGATAGGTATTTTGAGAATTTAGTTGTAAATCTGCTTAGTATTCAGTTTTTTTCTCATAGTGCTGACATTTGGGGTTTTTTTACATATTTTTAAATGTTTATTTATTAGAGAGAGAGCAGGCAAGCAGGGGAGAGGCAGAGAGAGAGAGAGGGAGAGAGAATCCCAAGCAGGCTTTGTACTGCCAGTGCAGAGTCCGATGTGGGGATCAATCTCACGAACCATGAGATCATGACCTGAGCTGAAATGAAGAGTCAGACGTTTAACCAATTGAGCCCCAAGGCTCAATAGTGCTCACATTTGTGAGAGTGTTCTCTTGTTCTGAAGCTTATTTTCCAATAATTTCTCTTAAAATTTAGAGGCTAGTCAGGGTAGTTTTATTTTCAATGAATTGTACACGCGTGTCTCTTTTCTAAAGCACTCCAGTGGTACACAGTGGCAATAATGAATACTACTTCTTTTTTGACAGAGCCCAACAGAAACGGGTATTTGATACTGTCAAGGTTGCCAATGACACACGGGGCCGCTCTATCCCATTCCCAGCTCTGCTGCCCATTCCAGGGTCCAACCGTTCAAGTGTCATCATGACAGCAAAACCTTTTGAGTCTGGTTTGCAACAAACAGAGGACAAAACCCTCCTGAACCAGGGGGGCAACTCAGAAGAAGTTTCAGAGTAAGAAATATAGATCATGGCAGTTATCGTGTATTTCTTATGGCATTGACATACCAGATGCTCATACTTATATTCCAGCATTGTTCTGTGCTATTCCAAGGAATTTCTGGAACTGTCAGTTTTCATTCAGTAATGATGCCCAATAGCATTATTTGTAAGACAGATCATTGACTTCATAAAAGTTTTTGGAGTAAAAAGGCTACATTTAATTAAGTATATTCAAAACAGAAGTTGCATTGAAGTGTAAAATTCTTTACTACTTTCTTCTTCAGTGTGGCAAAGTTTGAATCTAAATCTTCATGTTCTAAGTCAGATTTTTTTGAATCTGGTCATTGGCAGTTTATGCATAGCATCAGTGACAGTTTCTCATAACCCATGCTCATAATCTCAACTGCTTTGGTGCCTTTAGGATAAACAATAAACTTGAATACCTATTGAGGAAAAGTAGGTTGCTCTTAACTTCCTATTTGTTTAAACTTAGACTTTTTCCAGCTTTCATTAATTCATCTTATTGAATTATAAATAACTAGAAATTAAACAGCACTACTGGAAAGTCACCTGAAGGCTTTCGAAAGATAGGTATTTTGTACCTGAGGGAAATCTTCCTAATGCAGAAATCTATCCTAGGACATACCAAATACCCAACAAGTATTAGCTGCTATCAGTAGTAGTAGTGGTGGTGGTGGTAGTGATGGTGTTTTTACCATTATTGAATCCTCATTGTGGACTAGGAGCTAAATCTTATTTAATACTGTCAACAACCCTGTAGTGTAGGTACTATACCTTTTCAATTTACAGTTGAGGGAAGTGAGGCTCAACTCACTATGTAGGTTGCCCAGGGTCACTCCACATGAAGGTATTGGTCACATCACACTGTTGTAGGGTCACATTTCTGTAAACTACAGATTTGGTCCATGGATACACTTTGGTTCAAAAATAAAAATATTTGTGTTTCAAAAGAAAGAAAGAAAGAAAGATTTCTCATCCTGGGTTTTCTATTGTATTTCAGTTTGTACCTACAGTAGCTTTGTGTGTCAATACTGTGTCGTTGATCATAGTTACCTTAGGAAGAGATCAACAATCAGATCTCTGTGAATTCACATAGAGTAGCCAGGAGCAACTACAGTTTGGCTTGCTACTCTTTCTTTTGATATCAATTGTTAGATACCTCCGATTTCATAAATATGGAAAAGGAACAAATGTGTTTACAGAACTATGAAAATATAGTATTTACAAATCTTGGGTTTTTTTTTTAAATGTTCTACAATATTCGTGGAGGATTACATGGCCTAAAGCAAATTTTTTCACATTTTATATTTTGAAATTGTTTGTTTTGCAGTTAATGGCATGTCATAGTTTAATGGGTTGCATTTTTTCTTTCTTAGTAGTACATAAAATAATGGTACCTCTTGCAATCAATGGTTTTATAGATTCAATGCAATGTGATAATGTTTATTTTTCTGGCTACCTGACCTCAATTTATATAGTCATATCCGTAGTTTCATAAGTTAAGTGACTATACTTATCATGGTGAGCATTGAGTAATGTTTATAGTTCTCAAATCAATATATTATACACCTGAAACTACTGTAACATTGTATGTTAATTGTACTCCAAAAAAATTTTAAGTGAAATAGAAAAATTAGTAAACACCACATAATAACCAGTATGTTTTTATTTATCTGAAGTTGCTTGAAATGATCCATAAAAAATGACATGTAGTATTAGTGATTTTGGTTTATTGTTATTATTTCTGTATTATTGACACCTAAGAAAAACACTTTGATATCTAGGAAAAAAATGCTTTGAATTTAATTAGTTTCTTAAACATTCACTATTGTAGAAAAGAGAAGTCTAGGTTGTGCTTCTCAACCTTACCCTTACAGATCTAGTCAGTGAATGATTTTCCCACAGGAACATTCAGAAGCTGGGTCAACCAGGACCCTCTGAAGATAGTGATTTGGCTACAGCACTGCATCGCCTTAGTCTGCGGCGACAGAACTACTTAAGTGAGAAGCAGTTCTTTGCTGAAGAATGGGAACGGAAGATCCAGGTTCTGGCTGACCAGAAAGAAGGGGTTAGTGGCTGCGGCACCCCCACAGAGAGCCTTGCCTCTCTGTGCACCGACCAGTCAGAGATCACAGACCTCAGCAGTGCCAGTTGCCTTCGAGGTTTTATGCCTGAGAAATTACAAATTGTCAAGCCCCTTGAAGGTAATAAATCAATAAGGGCCATTTGTAAGCCCTGTTGGTTATTAGCCTTTCCTTTTCCTGGAATTAAACCTTGTATTGTAATTATAAGAAGACTATGTACAAGAGATACTTTTATTATCCCTAAACCTCATTTGTGTGACAGTGTATTATAGTACTTTGTGGAAAAAGTGTGTGCAGAGATCTGCATTCTCCCATCATCATTCATCAGTATTTTTTTAATATAAATGTGATGGAGAAAGAGCAGTCTTTTCTTTTGTCCTTAGCTAAGAAATATCATTGACGGCAGTTTTCATGGTAAAACAAACGGGATATAATAAATAAAATAATATAGGTGTAATACTTTATCTCTACCTTTCTATTCAAAAAAAGAGTTCCTTACCCAGGAAGTGTCATTTACTTAGAGATGTGTGTGTCTGGGTTGCATGGTTTTGTTTTTCCAGTTTTTGCTAATTTCTTTTCAGTTTTTGTTCTCTCCTAAGATAGAATTTGAATTCAAAATAAATTTGTTTTATGGAATATTGATTACCTTCAAATGATTCTGTTATTATCATAAAAGAGTCTGCATTAGACAAAATTTTGAGTTGGTAATCTATAAGGAACCCTCAAACTCAAAGGTTCTATAAGTTAGTTTTATTCATTAATGATCAGTTCAGGTATTTGTCAGAGTTGCCCCCTTAGGATGAAATGTCTGTAGTGACATAATTAGACATTGCATCTCGTGCAGGTGCTTGGGATGGTCATTTGCCAGAGTTCATAGATAAGAACCATAGGGATATATCTTCCTTTTAGCATCTCCTTCACTTTCCTACTCTGCCTGAAGAGCCTGGGGAAAGGAGAGTCATGAGCAGGATGGGGAAGAATACAAAAAATAAAACAAAACACTGAAATTCAGGTGTCTTTTAATGTAGGAGCCTGGCTTTTGACTTCAAAGTTCATAAGCATAGTTTCAAGCCAAGAAAGTATTGATTTTTGTTCACCTGGGAAAATACAGCCCCACCTCTGAGGTGCATATCTTCTTTCTCATCACTACCTCAGCATCCTAGTTCCTATCAAGGGTGCTGCCTTGACTTTTTCACCCCTGCTTTAGGTGTCCTTTTTAAAGTTAACTTTTGAAATTGAAAGATTATTGTTCATACCTTTAGCATCTTGTCAGTCTTCCACAGAGAACTTCATACAAATTTTACCAAAACACTAAGACCGAATAAGTAGTTTTATTGTTAGCCTTAATATTTCACACATTATAATTTTAGCCTCTGTATTCAAGATTGAATACTTGTTGGGAAATTTAAAACATGCCTTGTTGTTTTGTTTGTTTGTTTGTTTGTTTGTTTGTTTGTTTGTTGGCCTTGCACGTTCAGGATCACAAACTTTGCACCACTGGCAGCAGCTTGCTCAACCAAATTTAGGAACCATTCTTGACCCACGACCAGGTGTCATCACTAAAGGCTTTACCCAATTGCCCAAGGATGCCATCTATCACCTCGCAGATTTAGAAGAGGATGAAGAGGAAGGTATCACTTTTCAAGTGGAACAGAACCCTTCAATATCCAAGCCAGTAACAGGAATCTTCCTTCCACCCATTACTTCAGCTAGTGGTCCAGTTACAGGTAAGAATAGTGCTTGGTGAATGTAGTCCAATAATTTTGCATTCTGACTTAACAGTATGGTCGCGTGACTACCTTGATTTAAATCTAACTGGAATGTACTCAGTCTTTAACATAAGAAAATAAAAATCTATAGCAATAGTGGCCCTTCTCATTCTACTTCTTAACCAGCCTGCATAAGTAGATTGGGCAGAGAGAAAGATCAATTCAGTCAGTGGTTCATAAACCTTTTGAGCTCAGGATCTCTTTACATCCTTAAAAAAAATTGAGAATTCCAGAGAGTTTGTCTTTGTGAATTGTATCTATTGATATTTACCATGTTAGAAATCAAAACTGAGAAATTATAAAAATATTTATTAACTCATTTAAAAATAATAATTACATGCTAACACAAATAGTATGTTTTATGAAAAATAGCTCTTTCCTTTACATAGTGAGAAGGTATTGTTTTACAATTTTGTAAGCCTCTAATTTATGGCTTGAAAGAAAATATCTGGATTTTCATACAGCTTCTACATTCAGTCTATTATAGTATGTTTCTTTGCTTGAAGAATATAAAGAAAATGCAGGCTCACACAGAGGTGTAGGTATGAAAGGAAAGAGTATTTTAATAACCCCTTCAGGTATTTGTGAATATTTTTTTGATATTACACCAAAACTTGATAAGTAGCAGTTTCTTTGTAGCAATATGGAATCCAAAAACCTATCATACTTTGTTACATTAAAGTCTGTTGGTCTATCCTACACTTTGAATGCATCTTTTACCCATGCATGATTTTATAACGTCATGCACTAGTCATTTGGAAAATATTGGTTCTCTGAGTTATGCACATCTCTAAATGTTAACATATTTCATTATATAATATATTAAAATTACATTACTATCACCACCTATGTCATCAGATAAATCTTTTACTATTATGAAGCTTTAAAGCTCCCAGGGATGGATATAAGTTCTGCAAAACTTGAATTTTCACTTGAAAGTGCAAGTGACAGCAAATCCTATAAGCTATTTTTATTTATTGAAGAGACAGGCTCACTACCTTCATTTCCAAGAAAATTTCTGCCACATAGCCAAGTCTGAATAACTAGTTTGTTAGTTGTTCTTTCAGTTAAAAATGGTGTTCCATGAGAAAATTTCAACTCAATTGCCCATGTGCTTTTTCCTCTAGATGACCATTGTATCTTGGTATGCAGCAGAGTGCTTAATACTAACTTCCCATTTAATCACACAGAATTTAAGATACAAGGGTCAAGATTTAATAAGTAGTTTTTACTGCTTCATCAAAGACGTTCTTGTGTGAATCTGGCTGCTTTTTTTTTTTTTTTTTTTTTTTTTTTTTGCTATGGTGGGTGAACAACAGTGAAAAATATTCACATAGCTTGGTGCCATTGCCTTGATTTGTGCTAAGGTGTCAGCAGATTTGCTCACCATTGCTTTTGTACCAACCATGCAAATGCCAACCCAGTCAAAAAGGCAAATAGCATCTTAGGGTTGCTATGAAAGTAGTTTTGACCTGTGGATTCCCATAAGGATCTGCAAACCACACTTTGAGAACTGCTGGAGTAGTTTGACTAGAAAGATTGAACTGACTAGATCTTGTTTGGGATGTTGGGGGCGGGGGAGTTAATGTACTTTTTCAGAATGTGTTTTTTTCTTATTTCCAAGCTATTTTTAATCCCTTTAAATTACAGTTTTTTTGTTTGTTTTTTTTTTTTTAATTTTTTTTTTCAATGTTTATTTATTTTGGGGACAGAGAGAGACAGAGCATGAACGGGGGAGGGGCAGAGAGAGAGGGAGACACAGAATCGGAAACAGGCTCCAGGCTCTGAGCCATCAGCCCAGAGCCCGATGCGGGGCTCGAACTCACGGACCGCGAGATCGTAACCTGGCTGAAGTCGGACGCT